AAGGTGCTGAGTATGTCTGTAGGCACCCGGGATGGAGGTGGAAGTGGCTTCTCTGTTACCCTGAATAACCCTCTTCAAGGAGGTTATCTTCCTGTCCCTGAAACATTTTGTTATCTAGTGAGCTTGCGGTCCTTGTGCCAAACAGGGAGGAATATTTCCATGGCGCAGCAGTGAAAATGCCCCATGGCCATCTCAGGCTGTGCCTGCCGTAATTAAGGGCAACACATTGGGTGTTTCTACGGGCCAGTGCGATTGATTCTGTTTAACAGGGAGAAACTGGATTGCTACCAAATGGGGACAGTGCTGTGACCGGAGCCCAGGGGATTTATCGTAGTCCCCGTGCAACTGACATGGTCAATGGGAGGCCAGAGCGACTCCATGACAGAGCGCTAAGTATGATACCTGCGTCCTGAGGAATGGAAGGGTTGGCGCACTCCTTCAGGGAAGAACTGCCTTCACTGCCAGGGTGCCAGCTGAGAGTCAGGGCATCATGAACAGAGGGGGTGGGAGAAGGAAGTCAGGATGGTCACATCAGGTCTGCTCAGGCCTGGGGCTGGAGCAGCCAGATTCTGCTGTTCCTGCTTCCTCATCTCCCTCTCCTGGCACCTTGCGCCCCTCCGGGTTTAGTGTTTCCAGGAAGGAACAGGAACCAACTCTGTCATCCATCAGTGATGACACTCGGAGTGTTCTCACGGTCGGGGACCTGAGCTGCTTTCTCCAGCGGAGGAAAGAACTGGAATGGAAGCTGAGTGGCAGTAGGCGGCCCAGCCTGGTTCTTCTGGGCTCTTTTCTCTGTCCTCTCTGGCCAGGCTCTGGGGCCTGGGGTCTGACCGCCCCTGCACCAGGCGCCTGGCATGCTCTCCCTGCCCTCTGACCCGAGGCACTGGCCGGAGGCCCCAGCTCCCAGCCGTGGGTCTCTCTGGGCAGCGCAGCTCTCTGCAGACCGGCAGCTGCACCCCTCTCTGGGGCTGATGGCTAATCCCTGGGTGTCTCCCTAGATCCTGTGGGCCCCATTAACCCTGCCCACGCCTCTGTTAATAATCCCCATGCACAATGATTTTCAGTTAAACCCTTTTGAGGGTGCCATCTGTTTCCTGCTAAGACTTCAGTGGATAGAGCAGGGAAAAATCGCTGAGAAATTGAGATGCCATTGGCTGCTGTGAGGAGAAGGGAAATTTAGGGGATATACAGGCCAACACATTACAGCAGGCCAGAATCCATGCCTTTCCACAGACTGAAGAAAAAAAAAAAGAAACCAGTCATCTCGACTGGTCTGAATTCATAGATTTTTGTTGCTATTTGTTCTGTTAACGGTTGTCAGGTAGAAAACAGCCTGTAACACACACTGGGTTGTGCCTAAGATGGAGGGGATTCCTTCAATGCTGAATTGAGGACAGTCCTGGACAGATACGGGGATTACCTTCATCTCAGACTTTAGTCAGGACCTCCGAGTCCTCCCCAGAGGACCCTGCTCAAGGAATATTCCAAGGCAAAGAACACCCTTCTAGAATCACATGCTCTCTCCTCTCAATACTGTATCAACGGCAGAAATTTTCTCTGGCCTGTGGCAATCTTTCCATTAATCCTACATATAGTCTGAGAAGCCCTCTGACTGTTGGTCTAGGCAGCCAGTATCAACTGCTCAGAGCTGGAATGCCAGGCAAGAACGGTCTGCCACCTCAGAACTTAAGAGCTCTGACCCCCAAACCAACAGCTGAACTGGGTCCCCTTAGAGCCTCCAGAAGACTTTTTTTTTTTTTTTACCTTATAACCCTGGACCTTGCCAACGTGGTGGACAGAGTGGTCTTCTTGATTCCTTTGGCTCCTCAGGCCAAAAACCTGACTTTGTCTTTCTCTCTGTCTCTCCATCTACTGTAGAAGCCCCAGAGGCTGACAGCATGTCGTAAAGATAGCAGCTCACACCTTCGGGACGTCCACAACACGCACGGTGCTGTTCTTTCTTTCATTTGGCTGTGCTGGGTCTACGCTGCTGCTCAGAGTTTTCTCTACTTGCAGAGAGAGGGGCTGCTCTCTAGTTGTGGTGTGTGGGCTTCTCGTTGTGATAGCTTCTCTGGCTGCAAAGGGCTTCAGGGTGCACGGGCTTCAGGAGTTGCGGCTCCCCAGGCTCTAGAGCACAGGCTCAATAGTTGTAGCTCACAGGTCTAGCTGCTCCACGGCACGTGGAATCTTCCCAGATCAGGGACCACACTCATGTCTCCCATATTGACAGGTGGACTCTCTACCACTGAGCCATCAAGGAAGCTCCCATGGCATTGCTCTTAGGTAGTATTTACCTACTATGTATCTTTGATGGATAAGGAAATAGAGTGTTGAGTGACTTAGGGTCTGCCCTGCTCAGACAGGTGGCATGTCGTGGACTCAGGATTCGCCTCTGCTCCGCACACTCGGAACTCTGAGGGCTGAATGGTCATGCCATCATCTTGTTCACCTGGGTAACCTTGGCACCTGGTCCAGAGCCTGGCAGGTAGTCGGTGTCAGTCATTAAATATGTGCTTTAAATTGTTCAATGAAGATAAACCCTAACATAGAAAGCTGCTTCTACTTTCACGCTCCTTTTCCCTGGACCCTGCCCTGGCTTTATTAGGCTACATGGCTTTATTAGGCTTCTAAGGAAAGGCAACCTTTAGTGGACTAAAGCAGCAACCTGGAAGAAAAAAGGATCAGAGAGGCCCAGCGTTATGTGGGTCCAAATCCAGGCTCTCCCAGTCGCCTAATCTGTAAAATAGGAATTTCAGTGGTGTGTACCTTGAGGAATTGTACTAAACGCTGTACTAAACCTTGGCATCCAGTGAATAATGCTTAGTGGCAGTTTTGATTTCTTTAATTGGTATTATTACAAATCAACCCAAATGTAGCAAATCTAAGCGCAAAGGGAAAATTTCCATTTCTGGGAGCAACTCCTGTCCACTTCCGAGTTCCATCTCCTAGCTGAGGGCTCTTTCCCTGGAATCTATATATTTCTTCTTCAAGGCTTTATCGATGTTTTGTCTCCGGAGCCAGTGAGTGCAAGGAGAGAAATCCTTGCGCTCCCTCTAGAGGCCAGCGGTGCTCCAACTCTGAAATTTTCAATGACGTCCTGGGACCCACAGGATGCTTTCTGAGATTTTGTTTATTCCTCCCGGTGTTCACCCTCCTTCTGTGCCGGCTGTTTCCTGTTTGTCCCTTTAGGTCCCAACACTTTCCACTCTGCTCTGGGCCCCAGGATGCTGACTTGTAATAGACTGCCTTCATAATATCCCTCGCCCACCAACTTCTAGTTTGTCGTAACCAATGGCAGTCACCAGTACTGAGGTCTAGGGTTTTCTTTCTCCAGGCTCCTCCCAGCCAGGTTGCTAAGAGCAGACCACAACACCCTTCTAGCAAAGCCCACAGCTCCTGTCAGCAGACTGAGATGTCTGGTCCTTTGGCGTTGGCTCCCCTGTTCCCCCTCAGACCTAGGGATGGCAATGACTTTTTGTTATTACCTCATAATACAGAATGTCTCTTTGGGCCTTTAATAAGAGGGACAGGGAATCCTGGCATGCTGCAGTCCATGGGGTCGCAAAGAATCAGACATGGCTTGGCAACAGAACAACGGCAACACAGCCTATCTCTGTTATTTCCCTTAATCCTTCCCACAGCATGGTAAATAGTCCCTTTACCCAGCTCTCAGTTGCCCTGTTTGAGAGTGGCATCTAGCTCCTGATAGTTCTACTCATCCTGTGTCCAAGTTCCTCAGGCCGACACTCTTCTCTCTCCCTCATCTCCCTGGTACCGGTGCGCCAACAAATCAACTCCTTACAGTTTCCATAATATAATGTGTGTAGCGCTCCAGGATTCTTCGATCAATTCACCCATCTGCAGAGCCCTTTCACACTCCGTGTCCAACCCCTTTACAATCCACTCTCCTGCTGGCCTCTACCCAATCCCCTTTCCTCTTCAGAGGTCATGGCTCAACAGCCATGCCTTCTATTCAGTCCGTCCTCATCTCCCACGGTGAACATTCCCCCCCCCCTTCACACCCATACCATTTCCATCCTACTTGGTAGCAGCCTTGCATTTTGGTTGTGTTTACTTTTTCACTAGTGTTTGTGGAGGATCCTGGCTAGTTTAATTATGTTCCATTGACTGGATTAATTTATACAAGCCTAATCCAGCCAGAACATGGCATTTCCCTAGCCACAGGGATTTCTTCGCAAGTGTTCCACTCAGCAGGGAACTGAGAATCTTTGATCCTCCCTTTCAGGAAGTAATGCTCTCCCCTTCAGAAGTGAAGGGGGAACATGTAGTTACATCTGCTGCCAGCTGCCATTTGGTAACCAAGCAGGATGCTGGGTCTGAGGAAGAAGCCAGGACAGAGAGAGGCAGAGCTGAGAGAACCAGGGAAACAGATCTGTGGTCTTGCCCACACTGTGCCCACATCTGTTACACAAGCCCGTTTGAGATGGGTTTTCAGTTATTCAAACTAAAAATACCTGCAACATTTATGTTAATAAAAGATTGGGATTCATAAGGTGCAATTAGAAAACAATTTAATTCTTTTCTTCTTCTGTCCAAACTTACCCAAAGTCCTACTTCTTCCTCTCTGCGTGAAATCTCAGAGGCGGGGTGCAAGGGGGAGGGGGAAGCCCCATGCCTCATCTGTTCTTTCACTGATGATAAAATGCCTTCCAGGACACCTCTAATTCAAAACAGTTTTATTCCAGAAATTAAAGCATCCACCTCCTCTCCCCTTTGGCTTTCCTTGTCGCAGAGTTGCCCCGGAGAGTCAGGAAGAAGGGGCGGAGCACACCCAGCTCCGCCTCTCTCCAGGTCCTGCCTCTTATGTCTGCGAAGAGGGAGTATTCCAGTTTGCTTTTTTCATTGAAGGGTAAACTCTGCTTTGCTGGAGTGAACAAACCCACTCCAGTATTCTTGCCTGGAAAATCCCATGGACAGAGGAGCCTGGTGGGCTACAGTCCAGGGGGTGGGGTAGCAAAGAGTTGGACACGACTCAGCAACTTCATTTTCTTTAAACACCATCAGAATCTACAGATGTTTTTTTTCCCCAAGTAGTCTGTAAATTTTTCCAAATCAGTTGAGCACTTTTACAGTGTGGGAGAGTTTACTAAAAGCCTGGCTTCCCAGCTGATGTAGTTTAAATAATTTGGTGACCTCAGGGCTGTGTTTCCCATGGCGACAACCTCTGAGACTGAGGCAGCTGCCCTCTGCTGGTGAGAGGGGCAGGCACTTTCCAGTTCTCCGCAAATTCCTGACATTCACATAAACAGCGATTTTATTTTACTGTTTTCAATGTATGTCTTATATAACTGGTGCAATTCAGTTGGGACACCCTGTATTGTATCTGGTAACCCCACAGTCTAGCCTGTCTCACTCATTTTTGTTATCTGCTTGGGCCTAGAAGGTAAGTGAGTTTTCTACCTTTGTTCTCATTTTTACTTATATTTTTATTTAAAATATTGTGTGGTTCATAGTAGTGTGCTTAATAATGTTTATATCATGGATATATCAGTATAGTCTGAGGACCATAAGTATATTCCATAGAGACTATAAGACTTCGACTAAGTCTGGATAAAAAGCTGGATAAAAAGTCGTAACCTCTGGCTGAGGTCATCTTGAATATGGATGACACATTTGTAGTCCAGGGCCAGCCCGGACCTGGAATTCTGGAGCGCTGACCTGTAGGGTTGGCTCCGTGATGGTCTAGCTGAACAGTGGTGGGACTCAGTGAGTCTTCAGGGATCTTTGGTTTCTCACCTGTACAGAAAGAGACTGAAAGACTTTCCAAGACCCCTACCTAATGTTTTGCAGTTTTTTGTTGTTCTGAGTAGTCATCAGAAAAGAAGACGAGCATGTGCGTAATTTGACAGCGGAATTTGTCAGCAGCATCAGGAGAAAAGTCAATTAGTGACTCTGTATCGGTGATAATAAATCAGCGCACATATGTATAGATTACTTTTTCATGTCTTCAGGCGCTATTTTGGGAACTCCTGATCCAACACAAGATGTAGATGCCTAGAAGAGGACATGGTAGACTACTTTTTTGGGAGTTTAAGATGCCATTAACTGATATAGTTTGGTAAGAGCTACTGAGGGAGAAAACACAGAAATGATCACATATCATGCTAAGACATATTGGCTGGGCACATGATGATTATATGACTTTTGTCTATCATCCTTTTAATGTGATATATCATATTTATTGATTTGCATATGTTGAAACATTCTTGCAACCTAGGGTTCTTCATCTTTTTGACTATAGCCATCCTGGTGGCTGTGAAGTAGTATTTCATTGTGGTTTTGATTTATATTTCTCTAATGATTAGCATCACTACGAACAAAGCTAGTGGAGGTGATGGAATTTCAGTTGAGCTATTTCAAATCCTAAAAGATGATGCTGTGAAAGTGCTGAATTCAATATGCCAGCAAATTTGGAAAACTCAACAGTGGCCACAGGACTGGAAAAGGTCAGTTTTCATTCCAATCCCAAAGAAAGGCAATGTCAAAAAATGTTCGATCTACTGCACAATTGGACTCACCTCACACGCTAGTAAAGTAATGTTCAAAATTCTCCAAGCCAGGCTTCAACAATACGTGAACCATGAACTTCCAGATGTTCAAGCTAGTTTTATAAAAGGCAGAGGAACCAGAGATCAAATTGCCAACATCTGCTGGATCATGGAAAAAGCAAAGGAGTTCCAGCAAAGCATCTACTTCTGCTTTATTGACTATGCCAAAGCCTTTGACTGTGTGGATCACAATAAACTGTGGAAAGTTCTGAAAGAGATGCGCATACCAGACCACCTGACCTGCCTCTTGAGAAACCTGTATGCAGGTCAGGAAGCAACAGTTAGAACTGGACATGGAACAACAGACTGGTTCCAAATAGGAAAAGGAGTACGTCAAGGCTGTATATTGTCACCCTGCTTATTTAACTTATATGCAGAGTACATCATGAGAAAACTAGGCTGGATGAAGCACAAGCTGGAATCAAGATTGCCAGGAGAAATATCAATCACCTCAGATATGCAGATGACGTCACCCTTATGGCAGAAAGTGAAGAAGAACTAAAGAGCCTCTTGATGAAAGTGAAAGAGGAGAGTGAAAAAGTTGGCTTAAAGCTCAACATTCAGAAAACTAAGATCATGGCATCCAGTCCTTTCACTTCATGGCAAATAGATGGGGAAACAATGACAGACTTTATTTCGGGGGGGGCGGGTTCCAAAATCACTGCAGATGGTGATTGCAGCCATGAAACTAAAAGACGCTTACTCCTTGGAAGGAAAGTTATGACCAACCTAGACAGCATATTAAAAAGCAAAGACATTATCTTGCCAACAAAGGTCCGTCTAGTCAAGGCTATGGTTTTTCCAGTAGTCATGTATGGATGTGAGAGTTGGACTATAAAGAAAGCTGAGTGCCAAAGAATTGATGCTTTTGAACTGTGGTGTTGGAGAAGACTCTTGAGAGTACCTTGGACAGCAAGGAGATCCAACCAGTCCATCCTAAAGGAAATCAGTCCTGAATCTTCATTGGAAGGACTGATGCTGAAGCTGAAGCTCCAATCCTTTGGCCACCTGATGGGAAGAGCTGACTCGTTGGAAAAGACCCTGATGTTGGGAATGACTGAAAGTGGGAGGAGAAAGGGAGGACAGGGGATGAGATGGTTGGATGGCATCACCGACTCAATGGACTTGAGTTTGAGTCAACTCCGGGGGTTGGTGATGGACGGGGAGGACTGGGGTGCTACAGTCCATGGGGTTGCAAAGAATCAGACTTGACTGAGCAACTATACTGAACTGAATGATTAATGATGTCGGGAATCTCTTCATGCTTACTGACCATTTATATATCTTCTTTAGCGAAATGTCTTTTAAAATCATTTGTCTATTTTTAAGTTGTGAGGCATACATACTTGAAGAAAAATAAAAGTCTGATGTGGTATAGAATGAGATGAGGCATGAATTTTTAAAAAGCTTTTGAGATTTAAATGAAGGAAAAGAAGGGGGTCAAGCAAAGATTTTATAGAAGTAAAGGCAGAGGGAATAGCTAAGACTATGAAGAAAATCAGAGATGGTAACTGGATAGAGAATGACTGGAAAGAGGAGCCACACTAAATAGGGTAGTCTCTGGAGGCTCTTTGAGGAGTGTCATTTAAGCGAAGACCTGTCAGCCATCTTCAATTCCATCTTCCCCTTCATCCCTCTTACACACTTACTTGACAAGTCATAGCTATGATACTGTACCACAAATGACCTTCTAATGCATAAGCTCATGATGGTTATCATGATCTAACACATAAGCTCATAATGGGAAAAAGGAGAAAATTCTCACAAGTGGAAACCTGATACAACTGTCAAAATACATGGAAGAAGCTAGGTAAATTGTGAATTATTATCATGATTTTATTTATTCTGAGACAGTAAAAGCTACATTCTTTAAAAAATTAAATATTAAACTATGTCTTAAAAAAAATTATCAGTGTCTGTAGGCAGGTCCGATAACCCTTTGCCAACAGATACTATTGGTTCAGGACCAAGGATAGCATTTCAGTTTTTCTGCCCCCTCCCTTCATTTTATTTATGTCACGTGCATGCGTACTAAGTTGCTTCAGTTGTGTCTGACTCTGTGTGGCTCCATGGACTGGGACCAGCGAGGCTCCTCTGTTCATGGGATCCAGGCAAGAATACTGGAGTGGGTTGCCATGCCCTCCTCCAGGGCCTCTTCCCAACCCAAGGATCAAACCTGTGTCTCTTATGTCTCCTTCATTGGCAGATAGACTCTTACCACTAGTGCCACCTGGGAAGCTCTATTTCTGTCAACTCTCCATTTTTTTTTACATCCCTACTGCCAGCACCCCAACAGTGCCAGAATGTTCCATTCCTACAGTACCCTCCATTCTACCGAAGTTCACCGCCCAAATAGGATGCTACTGCTGCTGCTGCTAAGTCGCTTCAGTCGTGTCTGACTCTGCGCGACCCCATAGACAGCAGCCCACCAGGCTCCCCCATCCTTGGGATTCTCCAGGCAAGAACACTGGAGTGGGTTGCCATTTCCTTCTCCAATGCATGAAAGTGAAAAGTGAAAGTGAAGTTGCTCAGTCGTGTCCGACTCTTAGTGACCCCATGGACTGTAGCCTACCAGGCTCCTCTGCCCATGGGATTTTCCAGGCAAGAGTAGTGGAGTGGGGTGCCATTGCCTTCTCCAGGATGCCATTACTTATGTGCTTTCTTTCCCTTCAATACTTCTCTCTTATTTTTCTTTTCAATTTTGGTAAAGTACACCCAATATAAAACTTACTATTTAGCCATTTTTCAGCACATAGCTCAGTGACACTAAGTACATCCACCTAGACTTTCTTTATCTTCTCAAACTGAAACTCTACACCCATAAAATAGTAACTCCGCAGCTCCTTCTCCCCCTCAGCTCCTGGCAAACACCAGATTCTACTTTCTGTCTCTTCCCCTAACCCTGCTACCACCACCACTTTTTATTTCCTATTCTGCAGATTTCCACAGAATAGTTCATCGATAGCATAAGCATTAACCCTAGTAATTATAAATGCAAATTCTCAGACTCTTGATCTACTGAACCAGAAATTCTCAAGCAGACTCAGCTCTCTGCAGTTTAACAAGTCCTTCAGGTGATGCTAATGCTCATTTCCTGCAGGAATGTTCTGCAATAGCTTAACTGTTGACTTGAGGTAGCTGGGTAAAAGTGAAAGTGAAAGTCACTCAGTCCTGTCCGATTCTTTGCGACCCCATGGAATATACAGTCCATAGAATTCTCCAGGCTGGAATACTACAGTGGATAGCCTTTCCCTTCTCCAGGGGATCTTCCCAACCCAGGTTTCAATCCCAGGTCTCCCGCATTGCAGGCGGATTCTTTACCAGCTGAGCCAGAAGGGAAGCATAAGAGGACTGGAGTGGGGAGCCTATCCCTTCTCCAGCGGATCTTCCCAACCCAGGAATCAAATCGGGGTCTCCTGCATTGCAGTCAGATTCTTTACCAACTGAGCTATCAGGGAACCCCTTGAAATGATGGTTGAATATAAAATAAGACTTGGTCTGAGGCTCAGACCATGTAGCCACAAAATGCATTTTAAAGAAGTCTTGTGGCATGATTTGCCCAGTGGCTCCCAAATATTGATGCACATTATAATCGCCTGGAAAGCTTGTTTGAGAACCTATAGATTTCTTGTATTCACATCAGACATTCTAAATCAAAATCTCTGGGGCAGGAATTGGTACTTTGTCTGCCCTGATGATTCTTACCTAGTTGTTAGCAGCATGAAGGATAGACAGACACAAGTAAGTCTGGAAATTGGAAAGTAAGTTGGGATTACGGAAATACTCCAGGAGGCAGAGGCAGAGGGTCTATAGAGGGGCTGGAGCTTAAAGAACAGAAAGATGGGAAAATCAGTTGTGAGAATGTAGTTGATAGGACTTGGTGACTTAATGTTAATTGATATAAATCATTCACAGTCTTTAAAAGAAAAAGGGTTAATACTTTAATGGTTCAGAAGGATCTGGTACTTTCCTTTCCATGTATTTTCCTCTACTATGAAGCAACTATATCCAGAAGAGAGTTACACTGCCGGGCAACAGGCTACAAGTTAGTTGTTCAGTCGCTAAGTTGTGTCTGACTCTTTGCGACCCCATGGAGTGCAGCACGCCAGGCTTCCCTGTCCCTCACTGTCTCCTGGAGTTTGCTAAAACTCATGTCTATTGAGTCAGTGATGCTGGGTAACTATCTCATCCTCTAATGCCCGCTTCTCCTTTGCCCTCAATCTTTCCCAGCATCAGGGACCTTTGAACAATGCCGGGCAGCTGAAAATCCATGTATAACTTTTGACTCCTCAAAAACTTTTGCTGACAGCCTACTGTTGATTGGAAGCTTTACTGATAACATACACAGTTGATTAACATCTATTTTGTATGTTATACTTGATATATTCTGAATTCTTCCAATAAACTAGAGAAAATGTTATCAAGAAAATCATAAGGGAGAGAAAATACACTTACAGTACAGTACTGTATTTATCCATACCATAAGTTTGTCATCTGTTTACAAAATGAATTATCTGCCTCTATCTACATCAATATTGTCTTGTATAATGCAAAACACTGTAGGTGTTATACATATTACTAACACTAGACATCAAAAATGAAAAGGTAATGTGAAAAAGAAATCCATACTTGCTTATAGGTTTAACAGTTTCTACATTGATAATGAAGTAGCAGCAATATGATTGCTTTATTGTAGCCTAGTGTAATCAATACAAATGCTTCATGGTAGCCTAGCCTATATACTCACCAATGATCAATATAAAATTTTTATAGCATAAGTCACTCAGTCGTGTCCGACTCTTTGTGACCCCATAGAATGTAGCCCACCAGGTTCCTCTGTCCGTGCAATCTTCCAGGCAAGAACACTCGAGGGGTTGCCACTTCCTTCTCCAGGGGATCCTCCCAACCTCGGGGATTGAACCTGGTTCTTCCACACTGTGGGCAGACTCTACTGACTGAGCCACCAGGGAAACTATTATAGCATACAGTATTACAGTCTTATTCGCAGTACAGTATTGGGAACACTGTTATATTAAAAAAAAATTACCTGTGATGCTAGGCTGATATGCAGTTTCTCTGATTACAAGGGACAGGCATACTGTGTGATGTAATTCTTTAAAGGAAAAATGATAAAACAAAAGAAGGCTAACATACTATTCATTTAATATAAAATATCACTCACCTTATGCCTATGTAAGTATAGACAGAACCTTACATATTTTTATGCATTCATGACATACCTAAATTTCTTAATTTTTTGATATTTCTAGGCTACATAGTTTGTCCAAAAGTTTTTCAAATTCTTGCAAATTTACCCAAAAAAAATTCCAATATATTTGTTGGAAAAAAAAAATACCATTTGTAAGCGGACCTGTGCAGTTCAAACCCATGTTGTTCAAGGGTTAACTTAGATTAAGTTCAGTCCAAGTGCCATATAGGGAAATGAACAGCAGATGGCATCTCTGTGCTATGCCTGAATTATCAACCTTTGAAGGGAACTGGCCTCGGAATGACTGGTGCTAAAATAACAACCCTTTGGAGTGTCAACGTGGATCAACTCAATTACTGATTTGAGGGGGATCTGGAAAAGGAAGGCCAAATAAAGAATCCATTTTGTCCTACCTTTGTACCTGGCTTCTAATGATACCTTGTACACTTTTAAATATTTTAACTCCCATTCAGATTAATAAATTTGCAATCCAAGGTCCCAAATGATAGCTGTAGCAAGTAGAATTACATGAACTCAAGCAGGCTTGAGTTTAGGAAAAAAAATCCCCAACTTGGGCCACTTTTCCAGATGTCCTCCTTTGAGCTCCAAAATCACTGCAGATGGTGACTGCAGCCATGAAATTAAAAGATACTTGCTCCTTAGACCAACCTAGACAGCATATTAAAAAGCAGAGACATTATTTTGCCAACAAAGGACTGTCTAATCAAGACTACGGTTTTGCCAGTAGTTATGTATGGATGTGAGAGTTGGACAATAAAGAAAGCTGAGTGCCAAAGAATTAATGTTTTTGAACTGTGGTGTTGGAGAAGACTCTTGAGAGTTCCTTGGATGGCAAGGAGATCCAAGGAGATCCAAGTTCCTTGGATCCAAGATGGATCCAAGATCCATCCTAAAGGAGATCAGTTCTGAATCTTCATTGAAAGGACTGATGCTGAAGCTGAAACTCCAATACTTTGGCCATCTGATGTGAAGAACTGACTCATCAGAAAAGACCCTGATGTTGGGAAAGATTGAAGGTGGGAGAAGGGGATGACAGAGGATGAGATGGTTGGATGGCATCACCAACTCAATGGACATGAGTTTGAGTAAACTCTGGGAGTTGGTGATGGACAGGGAGGCCTGGTGTGCTGTAGTCCATGGGGTCACAAAGAGTTGGACACGACTGAGCAACTGAACTGAACTGACCTTTGAACTTTTGCTATTTGCAAAGTTTAGGAATAGCAAAAAAGAAATAAAATCAAATATGGAAAATAGAGGGCAGGGCAGCTTGGACTAGTAAATGAGCCCAGTGGAATGGAAATAAAGGAGGTGTTATATTTCTTGCTTTTTGTAAAACTTCCTGGGAAAACTGTTAGGTAGGATACAGAATTTTACACATTTTTAATGTGCTTGCAATCACAAAAAATGGCATCATGACTTAGTGATTAAGAGGTGGAGTCTGGAAACACCCACTAAAATCTAAAATTCTTCTACATCCTAGCTGTGTGCCTGTGACTAAGCAACTTAATGTCTCTGCATGTCAATTTCCTCATCTGTACAAGGGAAATGGGAAAAATATCATTTCTGTATAATATACAACATGACTAGTATAATTGACACTGATGTATGTTATATATGCAAGTTAAGACAGTAAATCCTAAGAGTTCTCATCATAAGGAAAGTAAATATTTTTAAATGTTGTATCTATATGAGATGATGGATGTTCACTGAACTTACTGTGGTAATCATTTCATCATGGATAAAAGTCAACTCATTATGTTGTATGCCTTAATCTTATATAGTGCTGTGATTAAGTTATATCTCAACAAAACTGGAAGAAAAAATTAATATTATCTAATCAGATTCTTACAAGATTTGTCAAAAATTTTAAGGTACTTAGAAGAGTACCTGGCATGTGGTGAGCCTATCATAGACAGGTATTTGAAAAAAATTTTTTAAAGCAGCTTTTAAGTGATGGGACAATCTGTGATTTTTTTTTCCTATTCAATTAAAAATATTTATTTTTTGATAATTGGAAAAAAGTTAAAATTTTTTTTAACCAAGTGTGCATGCTCAGTCGTGACTGACTCTTTGCCACCCTATGGACCATAGCCCACCAGGCTCCTCTGTCCATGGGATTTTCCAGGCAATAATCCTAGAGTGGGTTGCCTTTTTATCCTCCAGTGGATATTCCTGATCCAGGGATTGAGCATGCATCTCTTTGGTCTCCTGCATTGGCAGGTGGATTCTTTACCAACTGCACCACCTGGGAAACTTTTTTTTTTTTTAATTCTTATTTATTTTTGGCTGTGCTGGGTCTTCCTTGCTGCATGGGCTTTTCTATAGTTGCGACAAGCGAGGGCTACTCTCTAGTTGGGGGGGGGGCGGTGCATGGAGCTTGTCATTGTGGTGGCTTCGCTTGTTTCGCAGCATGGGCTCCATGGCGCACGTGAGTCCAGTAGGCGTGGCCCCCGGGCTCCAGGGAGCACGTGAGTCCAGTAGACGTGACTTCCGGGCTCTGGGGCTCATGTGAGTCTAGTAGACGTGACTTCCGGGCTCCGGGGCTCACGTGAGTCCAGTAGACGTGACTTCCGGGCTCCGGGGCTCACGTGAGTTCAGTAGACGTGGCCCCCGGGCTCCAGGGCACAGGCTCAGTGGTTGTGCCCCATGGGCTCGGTTGCTTCTCACCATTTGGGATCTTCCTGGATCAGGGATGGAACCCATGTCTCTGGCATTTGCACGTGGATTCTTTACCCCTAAGCCGCCAGGGAAGCCTGTCACCTGGGAAACTCTTTTAGCTAAGAGAATTAGAGAAAAATCCATACTTAAAATTTTTCTCTTTTTTGAGCTAGTTTATACATCTCCAACTTTTTCTGTTAATCTGCCAAACCCAATATTAGATATATCTTGGCTGTGAGAAACTTTGAGGTCCTCAGAGTTTTCAGAATTATTATGTATTTTATTATTTATTTTTATTGTAGTCAGATATACATAAGTATTACCATTTTAACTATTTTAAGTGTACCGTTCAATGGCATTAAGTATATTCACAATGTTTTGTAACAATCACCTCTATTTCCAGAACTTCATCATTTCAAACAGAAACTCCACATCTGTTAAACAATAACTTTCCATTCTTCCTTATCCCCAGCCCATTCTGTTAACCTCCATTCTACTGTCTGTCTCTATGAATCCACATATTTGAGGTACCTCAATAAGTGGAATCATAAAATACATGTTCTTCTGTGTTTGGTCTATTCACTTAACATAATGTTTTAAGGCTTACCCATGCTGCAGCAGGCTTTCCTGGTGGCTCAGATGGTAAAGAATCCACCTGCAACATGGGAGACCTGGGTTCGATCCCTGGGTGGGGAAGATCCCCTGGGGGAAGGGCATGGCAACCCACTCCAGTATTCTTGCTTGGAGAATCCCCATGGACAAAGAAGCCTGGTGGGCTACAGTCCATACAGTCAAAAAGAGCCAGACACAATTGATAGACTAAGCACCACATGGCATGTTACAGCATGTATCAGAATTTCATTCCTTTTTATGACTGACAGTGCATTGTATGTATGTATCACACTTATTGATTTATCTGCTGGATACATGAATTGCCTCCACTTATTTGTTATTGTGGATAACGCTGCTATGAATATTGGTGTACAAGTATCTATTCCAGTCCCTGTTTTTAATACACTTGGGTATATACCTCAGGGTTAAATTTTTAGGAACTGTCAACTGTTTCCACAGGGCTATATCCTTTTACATTCCCACAAGCATCCAGCATTATTTTTCTAATATGTTGGTCTTTTTTTTTCTTTAAAGTCAAACCTGGACTGGGAGTAAGTAGCAAAGCTTAGAGTCCTGCCACAGTTTGCTGATACCTTGCTAGTAGCAACAATCTTGACACACCACCTCCTAGACTAGAGTGATGTTTCTCAATGTACACAGTTGAGACTCCCAAGGCAATCACCTAAGAGGCTTATTATTAATACATTTGTAGGGTCCTTGATTCCACTTCATATATGCTGAATCAGCATCTTAGGGGCTGCGGTCCCCTAAAATCATCATTATGCATGCTAAAACATGAAACTCAGAAACCTAGATTGTTGAGTTCCCAAAGGCGGGGAAAATACCTCAGTCACTTTTGTATCCTTCACTGCCAAATATCCTGAAGATATTCAACAAACATATACTTGAACTAATAATGCAGTCTAAATTTGTTTGATTGCTATGTACAGTATTCATTACAACTAAATTCTATCACTAAACAACTAGTTAGAAAATCTGTAATAGTGTAGTATGCCTTTCATTTGTATAGACCGTGTATCTTACCAGCTGTGGTCTATTATGCCATCTTATGCTGCCAAGAATCTTTATTCTATATGTAATTTTCAGCTGAGTCCTTCAAACTTTGTAACAGGGTAAAAAAGGATATGGACTTGGAACTGGAAGAGCTGTCTTTGTGTAACCTTTGATAATTAAATCAAAATGTCTAAGAATCAAGTTTATAATTTCTAAAGGTCCGCAACATTTCCTATCAACTTCGCAGTGTTGCTGAAGCTCAAATGATATTCTACGTAGGAAAGTCTACTGTAGCAACGTTTATAGTTACTATGTGGCCGGGTAATTTAAACAGAACAAAAAATATGTTTCTAAGTCTTCCTAAAGACCTCAAATATGCTACAGTATCAATTAGCAGCTCTAAAGCACAGGCAAACGAGATTGGAACAGAAACACGGCAGAAGAACCTTAAGTGGATGGAAAACATTCGTTCATTCATTCATCACGTTTATCCAGCATCTACATTTATAACACGCTGGGCGTGTGTGAAAAATAGTGATTAAATAAATTCAAGTCTGTCCTTCAGAGATTTAGTACTTTTGTGTATATTAATAAATAGCAAACTGCCTCATTTCAGATCAAACTCTTCCGCATCAAAAAATAAGGTGTCCGGGACCCGCTTCAAATTCGCGCGCGCTGTCTCTTTAACGCGTAATAGAATTCTGATTGCATCGATCACAGGTTCGTAACCCTCTCCCAACCATCGGTCTCCTACCTATCTCGGTTACTACCCTCCTTCTGGTATCAAGCCGGGGGAAGCTCAGGTGTTGGCAAACGTTGGCTTTGCTGTGTGGCGACACCTGATCCCGGGGCGTCCGGCTTGCCAGGTGGCGGAGGTCCGGCTTTCCGCGGCGCGGGCGCAGCCTCGGAGCTCGGCTGGCCACGCCTGAAGCGCGGGGTTGGACTGGGGCGCCGTTGTTGTAGTGACCGGGAGGCGCTGCCGCTCCGGGCGGACGGTTCCGGGCACCGCACGGTCCCCCTTCCTACCCCGACCCCTCCCTCCCCCCGGTTCCCACTGCGGGCAGGAGCCGGGAGCTGAGCGCTCCCCCATGGCCTCCTCCCCGGTAAGGACAGGCTGCGGTGCGCCTCCCCGGAGCCGCTCCCGCGGGTTGGGGAGCCAGGTCGGGGCTACACCCGCACCTGGCGGGACATGGAGGCAGGAGTCCTCAGCCGAATCCCGAGCCGCGAGCTCCGCGCCCCTCGCCCCGGGGCGCCCGTGACTCACCCCTAGCCTCCGGGGCACCGGCAGCGCCGAGCCCTGGCGGAGCCCCGGGCGCTCCTCCCCGAGTCCCCGAGCTGTGACCGCCCCGGCGGCCCCATGGTCCCCCCAGAATTCTCTTAGGGTTTCCGTGGAGCGCCTGCGTCAGAATCACCTGGGAGGTTTTTGAAAAGTACAGGAGCCGGGGGGCCCCGCCTCGCACCTGTGACCGCGAGCTTTCGGGCGGGGCCCCGGAACGTGCATTTCAATCGCTCTGCCCAGGTGGTCTGCGGCGGGCGCCCGCTTCTGGGCAGCGCGAGCGGAGATTCCGCCGGCTCTGCGGGCGGAGGCTGGTGCTCGGCGTACACCCCAATATAGCTGCGGCCGTGCGTGCTCGCTCGGGGCGCTGATGCTCCCCACAATCCCCCACCGATGTGGCGGTTCCCGGGCCGGCTCCCGCAGGCAGGGACCGCGCTCCTCTCTGACCTCTGTACATTCGAGGTCTGCACCTGCTTTCAAAACTTGACAACTTTCCTTCCCAGGAGGACCCGGTTCTGGAGCGTTACTTTAAGGGCCACAAAGCTGCGATCACCTCCGTGGACTTTAGCCCCAACGGCAAACAACTTGGTGAGTTTTCTTTTTTCTTTCTTTCTTTTTTTTTTTTTTTGGTTNGGGAACCCTTGCCGCCCGTCCACGCTGGGTCCCCGGGAGAGCCACCTCTGAGGATCTATATGGGTGGAATCGTGTTGAGAGCGGCCGAGATGCAGTCGGAGCCGGAGTGGACCCGAGCCCAGGGTCACCTTGGTGCTCCCGGGCCCCCCCAGGCCCCGCAGAGTCGCTCACAGGCCTGGGCCCGGGCCCGGGCCTGGCCGGCCACTGGCGCGAAGTCGCCACCAGGGGGAGGAAGTGGGAAGGGGAGGGGTTTGCCCTCGGCCCGGGGAGGGTGGGGTGTTGCTGGCTGCAGAGTTTGTGAAAAGTTGTGAGGCGGGCGGGAGGAAGTGGGGAGAGAGGGCTTGGGGCTGCACCGGAGGCCGTGCCCCGCGGAGGTCCCAGGTGACCCCCAGGAGGCCCCCGCGGCTGCCGAGGATCCGAACGCCTGCATGAAAGGAGGGACCTGCTCGGAAGTTCGCTGCTACCTGAGCCCGGAGCTCCAGCGTCGGGTCCCGCAGCCTTTCCCCGGCGCGCGGTGACCCTGGTGGCCGCGTCCGCGCCCCAGCCATGAGGATCCGGATGGCCGTGAGGTGGACGTGGGCAGGCAAAAGCTGCCTGCTGCTGGCGCTTCTCACAGTGGCCTACCTCCTGGTGGAACTCTCCGTCTCCACTTTCCATGTCTCCTTGCTAGTCGGCGGTGCCCGGGAGCCGGGGTCAAGACAGCTCTCCGAGCCGGGGAAGAAAGCAGTGGATTTGTCTCGGCCTCTGTATGAGAAGCCCCCTGCAGATTCCCATGCCCTTGGGGAGTGGGGGAAAGCCAGCAAGCTCCAGCTCAGCGAGAGTGAGCTGAAGCAGCAAGAGGAACTCATCGAGAGATATGCCATTAACATTTACCTCAGTGACAGGATATCCCTGCACCGCCACATAGAGGATAAGAGAATGTATGAGTGTAAGGCCAAGAAGTTTAACTACAGGAGACTTCCCACCACTTCTGTCATCATCGCTTTCTATAACGAAGCCTGGTCGACTTTACTTCGCACCATCCACAGTGTTTTGGAAACTTCTCCCGCAGTCCTTCTGAAGGAGATCATCTTGGTCGATGACTTGAGCGACAGAATATATTTGAAGACACAGCTGGAGACTTACATCAGCAATCTGGATAGAGTCCGCCTGATTAGAACAAACAAGCGGGAAGGGCTGGTGAGGGCCCGTCTGATTGGGGCCACTTTTGCCACTGGCGACGTCCTCACTTTCCTGGATTGTCATTGTGAGTGTAATACTGGCTGGCTGGAGCCACTTTTGGAAAGGATTCATAAGGATGAAACAGTGATCATTTGTCCTGTTATAGACACCATCGACTGGAATACTTTTGAATTCTATATGCAGACTGGGGAGCCCATGATTGGTGGGTTCGACTGGCGTCTAACCTTCCAGTGGCATTCTGTCCCCAAACATGAGAGGGACAGGCGTAAATCGAGAATCGAACCATTCAGATCGCCCACCATGGCCGGAGGACTGTTTGCGGTCAGCAAGAAGTATTTTCAGTACCTTGGAACTTATGACACTGGGATGGAAGTGTGGGGAGGTGAAAACCTGGAGCTGTCTTTCAGGGTGTGGCAGTGTGGAGGTAAACTGGAGATCCACCCATGTTCCCACGTGGGTCACGTATTCCCTAAGCGGGCACCATATGCTCGGCCCAATTTCCTGCAGAATACTGCTCGGGCGGCGGAAGTCTGGATGGACGAGTACAAGGAGCATTTCTACAATCGAAACCCTCCAGCAAGGAAAGAAGCTTATGGCGATATTTCTGAAAGAAAATTACTACGGGAAAGGCTGAGGTGCAAGAGCTTTGACTGGTATTTGAAAAATGTGTTTTCTACTTTGCACGTTCCAGAGGATAGGCCAGGCTGGCACGGAGCTATTCGCAGTATTGGGATCTCTTCTGAATGTTTAGATTATAATGCTCCTGACAACAACCCCACAAGTGCTAACCTTTCCCTATTTGGATGCCACGGTCAAGGAGGCAATCAATTCTTTGAATATACCTCCAACAAAGAAATAAGGTTTAATTCGGTGACGGAGTTATGTGCAGAAGTTGCCGAGCTAAGAAAGCATGTGGGAATGCAGAATTGTCCCAAAGATGGGTTTCCTATCCCAGCAAACATTATTTGGCATTTTAAAGAAGATGGAACCATTTTTCATCCCCACTCAGGACTGTGTCTCAGTGCTTACCGGACACCCGAGGGCCGGCCCGATGTTCAGATGAGAACTTGTGATGCTCTGGATAAAAATCAAATCTGGAAGTTTGAGAAATAGATGAGCATAACAGCACTTTGGTCTGGAATTGACGATAGCTTAAGGGGAGTCAGCCTGCAGAGAGCCTCAGTGAAGATTTATTTCATCAGCATTCACCCAGTGGTCATCTGCAAGAGCTCTGTAAAAGCGGTGGAGCGTTTTGGTTAAAACAAAACAGTGAAACTGGGTGCGCAGAGATCTGTTGTTTAATATTTCAAAGTGCCTTATTTGGGGGTTGTTTTATTTAAGAGCTTTGTCAATATGTTCTCTTACTTCTTAAAGAAGTCGACTCGACTGTGACTTGAGATACACAAAACATTTAAGTGCCAGACTTAATGTTAAAGAATATAAAAGTTCAAGCAAAATGAGGGATGATTTATGTTGATGGGTAAGTCCACTGCATTAAAAAGAAAAAACAAAAAAACTCAGAAATGTGCAGTTCAAGCTGTTGCTGTTTTTGTTGTACATAGAATCTGAATTTCCTTTAGTCAGCATGTGAAATTTTAGGTTTTGTTTAGTTTTTTAATTCTAATTTTCTGTTACTCAAATAGAAATTAAGGAAAGTTACTCTTCAGGAGAAAGGCCTGGTTTAGTTATATTGTCAATGGATGAATTGGAATTGAGTTTAGAGGTCTTCCTAACATACAGACATCTCAGAAAAAAATACCACATCTGAATGAAATGGAAACCATTTACATTCCACACTTTACCAGCTTGAGCTATTAGACTTAACTGCTCTATGTTGATACCTCAAATCGCTGATTTTGTAATCTGTCCTCTCTGTGAACTTGTGTGTGTGTATGGGGTATTTTCTGATTGCACTTCCTTCAACTTTGAATGTATCAGAGAGGGACTCATTCAGAATACTGTGCTTCTCTTTGTTAATGCTTAATCACTTAAAGTAAACGCTTAATAATCACTTAAAATAAACACAATAGAGGCCAACTGTGTTTACTGAAACGTGTGAAACTGAAAGTGGGCCCTGTTTGACAAAGTCAGTGCAACTCTCCTACAGAGTTCTTGCTGATGAGGACTTTTAAGGGTTGATCTTAAGATTTTCCAAGGGGAAGGATAGCTCTCTGCACTGGTAGATGGGGCCTTCCAGCTTCTTTTCTGCACGGAGCCCCAGGCCTGGTGCTTAGATAGCTGTCATTAATTGTGGGTGAATGAATGACTGGCTGAATGAATGGCTCCGCCAAACAATGTGACTTTGGTCAAGTCCTGTGATTAAATGACTCCTTTTGAGCCTCAGTTTCCTCATCTGTAAAATGTGGGTGCTGGAGCAGGTCTTGAAGATTCCCTCCAGCTCTGGAATGTCATGCTTGTACATTCAGCAACCTTGCAATCTTCAACACTTTTATCTCCTCCCTGCTAACGTAGATAATGTTGTTGAGCAATGGTCATTCCAGGTATAAAGCTGGAAAAAAGAAATGATTTTTGAAAATTAAGTGAGCTGAGCTCAACTGAAGTGATTTTGGATTGAGTGGAAAGTTGTGGCCAGTGTTTGTGTTCATTTTATTTTGAGAATTGCTGAACCAATTTTGTTTTTTATTCTTTAATCTTTCAAACTCTGAAAGGAATCTTTTGGGTTAAGAATATTAATATTTTCCAAACTAATTTATGGGAGAAGTAAACATACTTTTAAAAAGTTACTTTTACTGTTTTTATTCCAATGTTATATCCAGAAATCAATCACAGGCTGAATTCAGAATTAAATCTTAATTAGTTCATTTTGGTGTAGATTTGTGAAAAAGGCATGCTCCCTAAAGGATCAGTCCACAGTACTCAGAAGTTGTTTTTGGTGTCTGCTTGATTATTTGGAGAGTAGGAACTTGGCCAAATCTAAATTTAAGAAAAAATTTTAGAATAACCTTTTCAAACAGTAATATTGCTTTGTATATTTTGTTTCTCTTTTGTTTCTTAAAATAAAAATGTGTTAATAATTTTCATATGTTATGTAGCAAAGAATGGTTTAGATTCTATGTGCAATGTGCATGACCTTGGGTGTAATTTAGGAAGAATTGGTAATAGTGCTCTGAATTGGTTAATTGGCAGCAAATATTCTCCTAAACCCACCCTCACCCCTTACTCAATCTGCCTTTTGGTTTTTAAAGATCACTTTACTCTTTTTATTTATTTTTGTTGTTCTTCTTGCATGCTCAGTCGCTTAGTCATGTCTGACTCTTTGTGACCCCCTGGACTGTAGCCTGCCAGGCTCCTCTGCCCATGCGATCTTCCAGGCAAGAACACTGGAGTGGGTTGCCATTTCCTTCTCCAGGGGATATTCCCAACCAGGGATCGAACCTGTGTCTCCTGCATTGGCAGGTGGTTGTTCTTCTTAGCCCCCTATCAGATGGGAGCGCTAAGATTGATATATTCTAGATGTATTTATTGGAATTATTTTTATCTTAGAATCTTTCTGCTCTCATCAAAAGAAAAAGGGAGCATTGAAAAGTAAAGCACTGAATTCTTTATTTACCTTTTGCCTAAATTGCAGGGTGTGACCCATTCATCTTTTTGGAAGAAATTTTAGGCTCGTGTTTTATTTATATCAGTAATTCAGAATAAGCGGGTGGTTCATTCTTCATAATAATGTAGGTAGTAGAAGAATGAGACTTTCACATTTTCATATGTTGGCATTTCCAATTTAATTCCTAAAATACGCTGTAAAACTACAAGGT